GATGGAACTCAAAAAGTTGGCTAGATATAGAGTTGGCTAACAAAAAATCGAAAGCGTATTGCCAAAATGGTAATAAACAAAATGTGCCGGCGTTTGGCGTCGTCGCTGTTAAACTTGACAAATACGGATAAAAATGAATAGATCTATATATATGTTATGTAGGCATATATATAGATTGACAGATAGAGAGGAAGAGATAGATATAGAAACAGAGAGAGATAGAGAGAGAGAGAGAGTTAAACCAAAGCAAATCCGAACTGAACCGCGAAACGATTCAGTTCGAACCGGCGTCGACTTGTCGCGCTTGCAATCATCAATCAGTGCCACAGCAGGCGCGATCACTGATCAATCAATCACGCGCTCTTCCAGTTGTGTCTTCGGCAGAGGTTTGCGACGAACGCTTGCAGAAAAGAGAGTTAGTAATTGGCATGATAGAGACAGCTATAGAAGAGAGTCAGTTAGAGTGTATCGGTGTGTCTGTGTGTGTGATCGACTGCATGACTGATTGTTTGATCAATTTTCTTGTGTGCTTTCAACAAAAATCGTAGGTGCTCGAATTGTGCCAAATAAGGAACGGGCAGCCGAACAGACTCCAGAGCGCTGTTGCCGTTAACAGCGAGGCGCTGTTGCCGTTAACAGAGCCCGCTTTGCGCTCTGTTCGCCTTATGGGGGAAGGAATAGAGTTGGGTGGAAGTGAAGATGTGAATGGGCTTTAGGGGGATAAGGTGTTTCTTTCGGTGAATGTAATTGTAGCAGCTGCTTCAAATAAGTATAAATAACTATATATATATATGTATATAATTAGTTAAATATATATATAGATAAGCGATTTTAAGTAGTTAGGCAAGTAAGTGGAAAATGCTCATTCGAGTAGAGTGGACTAGAGAAGAGTAGAGTTGAGTAGATTAGAGTATTTGGTAAAAGGTAAGCGCATAAAATCATGTCACAAATCAAAGCGTTAGATTTAAGTGTATTAAATGGAGTAAGGCAACAAAATCGATAAGTGTAGCATTTGTCAATGGGGCAGTGTGTGTGTGTGTGTATGTGTGTATGTAGCTGATGGTTAGTTAGTATCATATGCAAATGTGCTAAGCGTGCGCCAAGTGTTGTTAGTGTTGTTGTTTGTTGTAGTTGAAGTTAACTTTAGAGAGCGGTTGGTATTTTTATTATATTTGATTTTATTTTTCTGTTTTTCTTATCAGTTTTTCATTTCGACTTCTTTGCTTTCGTTTTGTTTGATTGTTTTTTTTTTTTGCTATTTATTTTAGCTTTTTTTTGCATTTTGCATTGATTTGCTCAGTTTGGTTTTGGTTATTGTGAGTTGTCGATTGCTCGACTCTAATTATTTGATTATAGCAACTTAACGCACATGCACCGGATCGGGAAGCACAGGGAAACGGGACTTAGGAGCAGAAGCAGGAGCCGTTGAAAGCCTCAGCCATAGCCAGATAAGCCAGAGCAGTCGCTTTTCTTTCACTGTTCATTCGTTTTTCATATAAATGTTTGTTCATTAGCAAGCTGTTACTGCTGTTACTGTAATTGCGCATAATGATGTTAGCTCTTGCTGTTACTTTTACTGTTACAGTTACTTGAACTGTTACTGTTACTTGTACTGTTACTGTTACTGTTACTGTTGCTGTTGCTGTAGCTGTAGCTGGATTTTGATGTCGGCGGGTGCAGGCAGCGCTAAAGCGTTTTTTGTACAATTATATTTGAAGAAAACGAAATGAAAATAAAAAATAAAATAAAATCGAAACCCAAATTCAAATATTAAACGAACCAAAATTAAAAAGCATTATAAGAATATTTATAGATATATTAAAAAGAGTAGCTTTACATATTTATATATATATATAGAGTACATATAGGTTGGGTATATTAGGTAATATTGAAGGCTGGCCAAGTTAGCGTTTGACATAAGCTCAGCGCACGAACAATTGTATATCATACGGATCTATATATACTTGTGCATATGTATTCATATCTACATACATACATAAGCACACATACATATATATGTATATGTATATATATATACATCGCATGATGTTCAAATCAAAGTTGAGTGCGCGTTTCCATAGTGCATTGCGTATGATGGGAACCAGAAGCCAATTCAAGTTTACGAATAGGATAACTATTTTTACGATAACGATAACGACGATAATAACGGTTACGAGACACCAGCTGGGCACACTTTTTTTGTTTTATTTTCTTTTACACAACGACCATGTGGGCACACTCACCATTTGTGGAGCGGGGGGCGTGGCATCTTAGCTCAACATTCAGTTATTGCAGCATGTGTCGCATCAATGGGTGGGTTTTCAAGGGTGGGGTAGGGGCTACATGTCATATATCACATATATATCATGTAACGTATATCGTATATCGTATATATATGTATATATGTATATCTTCCATTACTCAACACTACTTTTGATGGTGGAGGACTGAACTGGTCTAGACTATGGTTGCAACTAGTGGGCGGGCATGTCGAGACTTGTACAATGGGCATTGTTGGATGTAAAGTCAACTGTCATGATTGACTGGCTGATTGATGGTTGACTGATTGACTGATTGTTTGATCAATGCTACAATATTAAAGACTTAATGACATCTTAAGACTAACGGCCGAGGCAGATCTGGGCTCCCCTAGAGCCAATGAGCTCTCCCGATCGAGCCCAATTCTGCGCTCGAGCCTCTTACTAACCGTGGCAAACCCAAACTGTAAARCCCATGCAGTCGAAAGGAGTTACCATACATACATATATATGTACATATGCACATACATATATGGCAACGAATAAATACCAATATGAAGAGTATTATAAAAAGATCTACTAACAATAGCTACACGTTACTTAATTAGTAATAGGAAACAAATATATACTTAGCGATTAACTAATTTACAAATTGGAATGAGCTTCGCTTGGACTGTGAGACTTCGATCTATCTTTTCTATACATATATATATTTTAATTTGTATCGTGTGTTGGATGTTTTTCTTTTTTTTTTTTTTAATTTATTTTTATTGAATAACGATTATAAAACATTTCATTTTTAATCTTAACAACATTTCTTTTTTTTTTTTTTTGCTCTTCGTTTTTAATTGTTTTATGCTTGCGTTTTCTTTTTTTCTTTTAATTGTAGTCACAATATCTTATGATGCGTAATACTAATTATTTTTCTTTTCCGTTTCTTATTTATTTTTGGTTTTTAATTTTTATTTTGGGCTTTTGTTGTTTTCATATTTTTTGTTGCTGCATTTTCATAACTGTTAGTTCAATGCTGAATATTAATTTTTTTTTTTATTTTCTTTGGTATTTTTATTGGTATTGCTTTTGACTATTGTTCAGATTGATGCTCTGGGCTGGCCAGGAATGTGAATGGGTGTGAATGAATGTTTAACAGAAAGAAAGAATTACTATATCTAATTGCTTGCAGTTAATCTGGAATTTTTTCGTCTGGTATTAAAGTATTACTGGCTGCAGTGAGCCTTATTGCTGGTATCATTTGTTGGTGTTGCTGTGGCTGTTGCGCGGCTAACTAAAACTAAGACTAGAACTAAACTAGTTTAATGCTGTACTAATGCTCGTTATACAAAATGAATATACGCATACCTATACTCATATCCAGGTATTCATGTTATGCAAGGCAAAGCAAATGCACAAACTAAATTATGTATAAATGATATTTTGGCAAAAGCTTTTTGCGGCTTTGAATGAACGACGCAGCAAAATAATGGTCGAAAAAAAAAAAAAAATGTTTTTCATTTTTATTTATTGAATTTATTTCGTTTTATATATTTTATA